CGCCATATAGGGTTCGGAGCGGGATTGTAATAAGACAACCACTAGGTTCGAATACACTTTAATAAGTCTTTAATATAATAAGATATAATAGCTTAAATACTAACTTAAAGTAGGTTAATGACATCACCCTATTATGACACCACATTGTCAAAAATAAGTCGTGAATTATCTTATAATTATATAATTATTTTCTGTCCAGGCACGAGACTGTAATGGAACTTATTTCTATAATAATCTTGTGCCCGGACAGAAAATAGTTCAGATGGACATTAATAATAATAAAGCCTCTTTATTACAAAACAAAAATATCACAGACGTTTTTTTTAATACAATTTTTTATTTATTTATTGCTCTTACAAATATTAAAATTAATTTAATTGTATATCATTTCATATTATTAATACAGCTTTCTTTTAAATGCAATCAATTTTAATTATTTATATTAATAAATAACTTAATTATCATGTAGTTTCTTAATCTTATCTATAACATATATTTTTAAACGGAATACACAGTTATTACTAAATTAAATTATTAACATTCAGTTATTTTATAAAATGGACATTACATAATAAAGTAAAATTAAAAAAAATTAGATATGATTATATTCTATAATGGCTAAAAGAAAAATACATCTACAGCATCATTTAAATATCTAGGCATTTTAATTCGTGGTCAGAATACCCTCATATTTTTAGCTCTCTTTTATCGATATCCATTATAGAAAATTCTATTTTTTATGGGACCAATACCGATATCCAGTTGAGTCACAAGTAAGAATACATACCTATTATGCTATAATAATATACTAGAGTTTCCTGCGGCTCCGCTCGCATAGTACATTAATCACCAATAAAACCTTCTCCAAAACACGCTGCATCTTATAGTTTGAGTATTATTCCGATCGGTTCAGTAATTATCGCAGTATAACAGAACAAAAAAACCGACTGTCCATTCATTACTATATATCAGAACAATGATCAATAAACAGTCATTTTCTTAATAATCGATATGTCTAAAATATCGATTATAATTGATCAACTTCATTCAACTTGACGGTTCAATGTCGGAGATAAAATCTTGGTGCCTAAAACAGTTCATATAATATATTAGAGATAATTTTGTATTCGCCTACGTGTATGTCTTTTAACTAGCGACTCACCCTTGCTCCGCTCAGGTTCGTCCCTACTTACGTTTTAACATTTAGTATAGATTTCTCAAGGATGAGATATTTTCCCGCAATAAAAAGTATCCTATATGTTGATAAAGATAACCAGCTATCATCATACCAAATTTCATCAAAATATATCCAGTGGTATTCCCGTGATGCGGTAACAGACAGACAGACAAAAATTCTAAAAACTATAGATTCGGCCTCTGTATCGATAATAAAGTCTATTACAATAAGATTTTTCAAAAAATATTTAATGTACACATTCGGCTTAGTTACAATTTTATTATAAGTAACTAGTTTGCCTATTGTTCGAAATTCAACCACAACATTAAAAATTTCAGAAAAACATTACATACCTCCTGGTAAATTTCTAAGAAATCTATTGTTAATTGTAAAGTTGGCGTGTCCGCGGTCGTGGAGGAAATAAATAGAATTTGCCTATCTAAATATATATATATACATATATATATATATATATATATATATATATATATATATAAATATATATATATATATATATATATATATATATATATATATATATATATATATATAGCTAAGGTTTCAATTTTTGTTATTAAATGTTATTGCGTAATGTAACTTTAAGCTCGTCAATAGCTACTAAATAAAAAAAAAAGAAAATCAATTGACAAATAGAGGAGAAAATGGTACTTAACTTTTTTATCTTTGTCTTAGTTTATATATTATAGATTTTGAAACCTCTCAACGTGAGATGATGAGATGAATTTCGAAAAATCCTTAGTGGATTGCCTACATTGTATAAGGAACATGTCCTCCAAATCTCACGTTTCTACGACCAGCGATTTAGGCTGTGCGTTGATCAATCAGTCAGTCAGTCCGGACAAAGCATTTTATGTCGGTATATATAGATTAATGTTAAGGACGCACCGAGGCAGCGAAACGTAATTACTAAAACTTTAATTATCCAATTAATATGTAGAATATTTAAGGAGTTAGGTATTCTATAAATCGTACACTTTAGAAACACGATTACTTATAGTTTCCTTGATAGAAAAAAAATCCAAAATGACATCTAAAAAACAAAATAAACCCTTAGTGCGTCGTATATAATTCAAGGAAGTCGACCAGTTCTTTAATAATAACAAAACTATACGTTTTCTATATCGTATACACTTTACATTTTCAAAATGTGTATTTGTTTTAATAATACGAAGCAAATACCTAAATTATCACACGATTATATTTTATTTTGAGTTCTGAATCACGCTATTAAAGTTTTGTGTGATCATTATTATACATGCAGTTTTAAACGCAAATCAGCCAGGCCTGCTTCGGCAGTACGTATGTACTTCCGAAGCAGGGACATTTTATATAGGCACGTCTCAGGAAGCATTTCGGTATACACCGACTTCAAATTTACATTTATATTTATTATTAGGTCTTTCTAAAAAAATATTGGTAAAAACAAAGTTGTTTAATAACTAATAATATACACAAATAAATATTTTACGATAGAGTATTATTCGACTTTTTGAAGACGGTATAAAATAAACCGTTAAAATTTACGTACGAGCAATTTGATACTACACATACCAAGTACCAAGAATCACATATATTCAGGAAAAATTACTGGAGAAAGCATCTGCTATCATCACGCTACTGTAATAAAATGCTAAATTTTATTTGTTTCTTATACCTTTGACCTAAAACGGCTGAGCCGCTGAACGGGTTTAGATGAAATACAGAAAACAGACAGATTTTGACCTGGAATAGCTACGATTTAGGAATAAAATTGCCAAAACGTGGTATTGGTTGTAGGCCAAGAAATTGTTATATTATAAAGCGGCTTCCATGAAATTTTATCAAGTTGGAAAAGACACCTAGGGACGCACTCAAGTGAAGTGAGAGTAAGTAACTATACTATATACTGCCTCGGTGGTGTAGTGGCTAGCATGTACGGCTGCACACCCGGAGGTCCTGGGTTCGAGTCCCGGGTCGGGCCAAGTTTAGTTATTGAGTCTTCCTGTATAGTAAGTCTCAGTAACAGCCCGGAGTTGGGAAGTTGGCGGTATTTCACCCCCGTGCCTCGGAGAGCACGTAAAGCCGTCGGTCCTGCGCCTTAACTCTCACCGGTCGTGTCGAGTGGTCGTCCCACCGGAGTATGAGAGTGATAGGAATAGAGAGTGCACTTGTGTCTGCGCGTACACTTGAGCACTATAATATCTCCTGCGCAGTTGGCTAATCTCATTGAGATTGGCCGCCGTGGCCGGAATCGGCTAGGAGAACATCCCATCCCTTCCCTATATACCTACATCTATAATATAGATAAATAAAATTAATATAATTAATGTATATTATACAGATAAATAAAATTGAAGTGTCTGTTTGTAATGCCAAAATAACTGCTTTTTACTAAATGCATATAAAATTATATAGGTATGCTACCTATAAGAAAAACACAAATTTTAATTTTTTTTTGTCTGTCTTTCTGTCTGTCTGTTTGTGCTAATCTCCGAATCGGCTGGACTGATTTGATGGGATGGAAGGACAAAATTATTTGATGGGACTTTTGGCATTGGCAGATTGATGAAGTTGTAAGGAGTAACTTAGGCTATTTTTATTTTAGAAAAAGATTTAGGGTTCCGCTCAAAAAAATTAAAACGTACCTACCTAGGGACGCACCCAAGCAAAGCGAGGGTAAGTCGCTAGTGTTAAATAAATTATACAATTACTTTATAGGTCAATTATATTCGGTGCTTAGTGAAGCGTAAGCGAACAGAAATGATTGACATTCCGAAAACTAGAACCGGTTGATCTATGTTATGCGAACGGCCTTACATTTGACCCCAGTTCACTTGCTGACCGATAATGAAAACAGATAATTACATTTTTCAATCGAGAGTTTATTTTTGGTCGTCTGCAAAATATGGTAGTCTTCGTAGATATATTTCGCGATATATTCGTATTCGCTTATTGTGAACAGAATTTTATAATTAACTAGCATTGCCCGCGGCTCCGCCCGCGTTTAGATGACCACAAACCAAATTCTTAGGCTTTACATATTAGTATACTCTTGAGTATGAAGTTTTTGTATTTTTTCTCAGAAATGAGATATTTTCCCGCAGTAAAAAGTATCCTATATGTTGACCCGGATAACCAGCTATCATCATATCAAATTTCATCAAAATCTGTCCAGTGGTTTTCTCGTGATGCGGTAACAGACAGACAGACAAAAAATCTAAAAACAATCTTTCTTTCTTTCTTCTGTATCGATAATAATGTCTATTTCAATTAGATTTACCAAAAAATATTTAATGTACAGATTCAACTTTGTTACAATTTTATTATATGTATAGATTGAATAGTTATTGACCTTTGTCTTGCATGCATGTTGGCTATACTTCACTTTTATATTAAATACATGCATTATAATATACTGCAACAATTATTTTATTATAAATAACTTTTAATCAGGCTATCTCAATGTTTTTATTAAACAGAAGAGTTAAATTTACAATGATATCGACATCAAACATTTTATTTTTATCGAAATAACTAAATCCATTTTTTAATAGATATAGTATAGGACTACGCTTTATTTTCAATATCTAAAGATAACAAAATATATGATTGGAAAAGGATACTAGATATAGACTTTCTATTTTTTAATGGCTCAGTAGCTTGAATCGTAAGGTATCCGATAAATTAAAGATGTCAGAAATCACCTTATGAGTTTGACATTGACACTTGACAAAGCGTTGAAATGTCATGTGTCACATAGAAGAAAATTGATTTTTTATTAGGTTGATTAAATTATGCTGTAAAGGTAAATACATGACATAAAATGAGTAATATTTACATTCAAGAACCCCCAGCACTTGGCAAAGTAAGTTACTGTTTTATAATATAATTGTAATTTCACCTTTTATAAGTAAAAATACAATGTCACACATTCGAATATATTTACTAACTTACAATAACTAGGTACTAACTAACTTACAATACTACAATATTTACAATAGCAATTTCATTCTGGTTATGTGTTTCGTATAAACAATACTTAAGATTTAATATTTGAGAAATTAAAGCTGTTATAAAGCTGTGAATAAAGTTTTTAGTTTATTAAAACCACATATGAATTTCAGGTGTTACTCAAAACGTCAGCGGGAGATATAGACATTGAGTTATGGACAAAAGAAACCCCCAAAGCAAGTCGAAACTTTATACAGCTATGTATGGAAGGATATTATAATGGTAAGAAATAGTTAAAGACTTTCCAGCCCTTAACATTTTCAAATATAAAATGACATGTAAAAGTTAATGATTACCAGTCAATAAGAAGAAATTATTTTCGAATTCAGCATTTATATGTAAATTATGTCACATGCTGTGCACAAGTCTCTCTAGGCTTGTATATTGTAAAAAATATATTCAAAAGGGCCATTCTAGTGTAACGAGCAAAAATTTATTAATTATTAACCAGGGAAGGTATCTCTCTTGTCAGCAAAAGTAAGCAATGCTCTTACGCCCCCCTCCTATGGTTACAAAAACATTGATACATAATCTAAATATATTTAATTCCATTAGACTTTCATAAGCACTTTTGAATCTTCGCTTTTACATTTTTAAAACATTCAGACATTACACTTACATGTTGATATTCTCAAAGTATTCCATGACAGTATAATAAGTTTAATTCAATAATATATTTTTAATTTTAGAAATTAAATAGTTAAAATCTCATATTAAAAACACTTTTATATAATAATATATAATGGTATATTTTTTAATCTGGTTTCTTTATTGTTATTCATGAGCAGCAGTTATCAAGTCTAGATATATTTAATTTATAGGCAATTTTATGCACATTTGATAATTATTCAAGCAAATTATTGACATTATTCTTAATAATTATGAACTATATTAATTCATTTTTATTTATTTAACATTTAGATATGTTAAGTCAAATTAATCATCCTCAGTCCAAGAGACTTGTATCTATGACTCTTAAGTCTTCAGTGATATTGGATGTTTGCTACCCGATGTTGTAAGTCTGCTCAATGCTCATTGTTCTGTTGTTTTGGGATATTAACATTGTTCTCTTCGGGCTATTTAACACCTTGGCATCTGTCTCAATTATTTTGGGGAATCTTGTGAACATACTTTTCGCTTTCGAGCATAGACAAGGAAGGTTGCTATAGTTTGTTCTGAACACATTCATTTGCAGAAATTTTGCAGAATATCCAAATAAGTAAATGAATATAACTGTCCTAGAATTATTATAATATATTTCAATAATTCCATTAATATTATAAATGCGAAACTTTGGATGGCTGACACACTAGAATGGCTGAATGGATTTGGATGAAATTTGGCATAGAAATAGATTCTACTCTAGGGGACAGTTTGATTTTTGTTTTTAACTAGGGATGAACCCGAGCAAAACAAGTTTGAGTCACTAGTATTATTATATTATGCAGTTATATTTTTAAGTTATCTATATGAATGTATTTATTTTTCCAGGTACTATATTTCACAGGGTGGTCCCAGGGTTTATAGTGCAAGGCGGTGATCCCATTGGTAATGGCACCGGTGGAGAATCTGTATATGGTGCTCCTTTTAAGGTAAAAAAAGAAAATATATTGTTACAATATCATATATAATGTTTTGTACATTATTACTGAGTACTGCATATTTACTGCACATTTGCACTATATTCACAGCTAATTTATTTATTAATTATGTTTATGGTAATAGTTTTTTTTTTATATTGAAGCGAACTGTTTTTAGCTGTACTAAGGGCCGTTTTTTCAATCCACAGATCATCCAAATAGCCTTTATTCGATGAATAGCAATGTTCTTTGATTTTCAATGGTCATATAGTAGTTAACCGTAGAATAAAGCCTCTAACAGAGGAATATAGTTACCTGCTACTTTAAAGGCCAGTCAGGGTTTTATCTCCCTGATAAGTATGGCATTTTAGGTTATATTTGACAATTTCACTTGTTTTATGCGTTTTGGTAAAACAATATGTTCGAGTCTCACTGGGGGCATTCATTTGTGTGATGAGCATGCATGTTTGTACTCTAGTTATGGGTGTTTATATTTATAATATGTATGTATTTAAAGTTATATATGTGTAGTGTATCAACTATCTGGTATCCGTAACACAGGCCTCGTAGCTTACCATGGAACTAGATGGTGTAGTGTGCTAATGTCCCAATATATTTATTTATCTTTATTATTTTTTCTATTGATGTTTTCAGGATGAGTTCCACTCGCGTCTACGTTTTAACAGGCGAGGTCTAGTCGCAATGGCTAATGCCGGTAAAGATGATAATGGATCACAATTCTTCTTCACTTTAGCATCTACACCGGAACTACAGAACAAACATACTATATTCGGAAAAGTTACTGGTGAGTATTTATTTTACACTTGTATATTTTAAGCTAATTTAATATGTTAAACTAGTTTTTGTGCATGACTCCTAAATGACCTCCGGAATTCAATCTAATTCATTCAGGCATTATAACATGAAATAACAGACATACACACGCTAACACACATACATACAATTACATATTCATACGCATATAATAGCGACACACCCTCGCTCCGCTCGGGTTCGTTTTTAGTTACGTTTAATAACGTTTAGTATAGATTTCTCAGAGATGAGATATTTTCCCGCAGTAAAAATTGTCCAACCAGCTATCATCATACCAAATTTCATCAAAATCTGTCCAGTGGTTTTCTCGTGATGCGGTCAGACAGGCATACAAAAACTCTAAAAACTATAGATTAGACCTCTGTATCGACAATAATGCCTATTCCAATAAGATTTTCCAAAAAATATTTAATATACAGATTTAACTCAGAATTTTATTATATGTATAGATATCACGAATGTGATAAATAGTTTATGTTAATGTTTCTTACTAAATTACATAAGGAACTTGCTTTTGCCTGAAGCTCTACTCACAATGTCCATTCTCGTGATGCAATCCAGGTCATAGCCAAGTGACTTGAAAAGTAGATATACATATATACATATAATATTGCTATGCATATTGTTGAACCATACATATCTATTGCATAGTACTTCAATAATGGTGTAATATATGTAATTAATTAAATAAGTGTGTGTGTACTTATATACGCACGTACATATTAATATTTCTTTGGTGTAACAGAACAAAAATAGCTAAAGATTTCTCTCCGTATGTCACAACTTTCTGTTTGTAAAAGGAATGCAGCTAATTTCATCATGTCGCTTTTTGGCTGTCGGTGTGCGCGCGCATCGTAAAAATTTTACTCTCATATTTTTTTCCAAACATGCCATAACTTCAAAAATTTTGAAGTTAGTGAATTAATTATATTTCATTATAATAACTGCTCTTAAATTTTTCAGGTGACACCATATATAATGTGTTGAAATTATCAGAGGGTCTTATAGGCTTCGATGATAGACCAGAGCATCCACACAAAATAATAAGTACCACAGTGTTGATCAACCCTTTCACTGATATCACACCCCGAGTCCAACAGAACCAAGAGATTGATAAACCTGCGAAGAAGAAGAAGGAGCGGCAGGGTATCAAGTAAGGAGGTTTTTTCTAAATTATTATTAATATATACAATTTTAAGAATTTAGAATTGACATTAAAATGTGTTTTTTTTTTACATTCTTCCATGTGAAGAATGTTTTGATGTTTTTTTTTAATGAGCATAAACGCTGTACTGTGAGTCAATTTTGTTTGCTTCATAAAACAAGTGAGATAAATTTTAAGGGTTTTAAGTATTTGAAATCAAACTCATTCATTTAATCTTCATTTAAAAAAATCAATTTGTGACATAACACACTAATGATTTGTTTTTTTTACTGTCTTTTTTCTAGAAATTTTGGTTTACTGTCATTTGGTGAAGAAGCAGAAGAAGAAGAAGGAGAAGCTCAAGAATACAGAGGGAAGCCAAAATCAACTCACGATCTTCTAGAAGATCCTAAGTTAAGCAAAAAGACTGCCGCAGGTGAGCGTACAACTTACTTATTAGTAGTAAAAGTAAATGGGAAAGAGTTTTTTTGTCTTTCTTCCTCGCAGCAATATATCGATATTTTATTTTGTTTATATTGTAAAGACAGAAGTGTGGGATAGATTATTCTAGTTCAAGCTTCCATGAAGGGCTAATTTAATTATATTTACATTTTAAATAATTTAAAATACAAGAATTTGTTGTAGATTTAATAACAACCAGTATATTATATAAAAAAAAATTGAGCACTCTTATTATAATATTAGAGACTCACCCTCGCTTCGCTTCGGCTTCTTCCCTAGTAAATAATCAAAACAAATATATCCCACGGGAACCGTACATTTTTCGGGATAAAAAGTAACCTTTGTGCTATGCCAGACTATAATCTATCTCTGTGCCATATTTCGTCTAGATCCATTTAGCCGTTCTGGTGTACAAACATCAATCCATCCTCACAATTTTTTATAATATCAGTATGAATTAGGGGCACATTTTTTTAATTCTAATTCTTTTAAAAAAGAGGTTTTACTAATATTTGTGTAGTATATTTAAACATGTATGTATGCAAGCCAACTTAAATAATAATATCTATCAATGAAATAATTTGTTAAAATGCTTAAATTCTACAGAAATAGAAAAGGAAAGAGAAAAGCAAAAAGAAGAATTGTCTAGTCAAGAACTAGAACAGAAGAAGGAAGAAACTGCTCAAGCGGTTAGTAATATAAGAGATAAATTGAAAAAGAGAGATCAGAGTCCAGAAAAAGAAAATAGAAAGAGACAAAATCCAAAAGAGAATAAAAATAAAGAAAGTACAGATGACGAGAGTGGAGAAGTTAAACGTAGGAAAGATAGTGAGTCAGATGGAGAATATTATTTGGGGAAGGAAAAAGATATGGAAAGACAGAAGGAAAGGTATGATAAATATCTAAGTCATTTATTAGTTATAAATAGAACTACCTTTTCGGATTATTTCGTGGATTTATTTAGATTTTTTGTTCCGACGTTTCGGATGCTTTATAGCAATTATGGTCACGTGAGAGTCTTAAGGTTTTAGACGTCTCAAAGGCGTTATATACTTGTTACAGACAGTGCCTGTGCCTAACCCAATGCCAATATGTTATTTAAAATGTCAAATATACGCGTAAATTTAAAATAGTATCGTATATTAGCTCTATTAGACTTTTGAAAACAGTGATAACTATTTAAAAAAAAAAATTACAGACAATTGCGAGTCGGACTCGCCCACCGAAGGTTCCGTACAAAGTAGGAATCAAACAGATTTTCAACTTTTTTTAATTTTTGGATTTTTTCCTTACTTTTTTCCAAATTTCGTGATTTTAAGTCAACGGCAACTACAGGTTTAATAACAAGAAAAATAAATATAGGTTTTCATCTTGAAACCTATAGGGTACTTCCAGTTGATCTAGAATTGTCTTGGTATAAATTTCAACTTGCTAAGTCCACCCGTTCTTGAGAAAATCGGCGGCGACACTCGGACAGACAGGCGGACGGACAAGATAATGATTTTATAAGGGTTCCTTTTTACCTTTTTGAGGTAAACCCTAAAAATGTACAAAACAATGTACAATTTTTTATCTACATGCTTAATAAGCAAGTGAAGCCGTGGGTATTAAGTAGTAAGATTAAAATATTACCAGAATTACTTTATTTAAAACATTTATCAATTTACAGAGATCGTATAAGGAACGAAATAAAACAGCTCAAAAAGGAAATGAAAGGGACAAAAGAAGTGAAAGAAGAGAAGAAAGTAGAAGCAGAAACAAAGAAGATAGAAGAGGATAACGAAATGTACAAACAATTTGTAGATGAACAGGAGAAGTATAAGAAGATGAGTGAGAAGATACCAAAGAAAGGAGCTGCTAGGTATGTATTTGTTGTGTCTTAAGTAAGTAGGTTCGATTCACACGTGTGGTACTTTTTAATAAGCTTTTATTAACTTAACATGTTTTTAACAATGTAAGGTAATGGTTAAAAGCTCAGTGGTAACGCGCCCTCTTTGGAAAGCGAGTGAAGCGGGTTCAAATCCCGGGTCTGGCACCTCTGATATTTTCATGTGCAAATCATTTCTTACATGATTATCACTTGTTTTACGGTGAAGGAAAAACATAGTGAGGAAACATGCATGTCTTCGAGAATCTAGCAAGTTTTTAAAACACACGCTCAGTCCGCCCGCACTTGGCCAGCATGGTGGACTACGGCCTGATACCCCTCGTATTGAAGAGAGGCCCACTCCCAACAGTGGGACGATAAAAAAAGGCACTTTCGTTATCTTCAATCATACATGTTCTTTTCGAGATCACATTATGGTCTATACTTTTGATTTTAATCAAACATTTTTTGATTATATATAGTAGAAAAACAATACATCTACATATACTCGTATATAAAACAAATTCGGGTTTGTTACAACACTTTATAACTCGAGAACTGCTGGACCGATTTTTATGATCTTTGATTTGGTGGATTTGTCTCCGCTCCGAATAGCAGAATAACTATTAAAACATCGGAAAAAAATCACGAAAAAATATTTATAATTTACATAGCTAATGCCGGACGATAACTATTTATATCTATTTAAAACGTACCGCTAGTTATGGATAAAATTAATTATCATAGTTACAAGTAATCTGGGTGTATAGTTTGAGATCATTGTCTTAACGCGTAACGGTTTTTTCGATAGTGGAACACAAGATGATGAGGAATTCCAAAAATTCAAGATGGCGTCCTTTTCAGAAGCAGACGCACAATGTTCACGAGAAAAAAAAAGAAAGCATGGTCGAAGAATTTGTACGAAAACCGCGATTATCCAGATAACTATACGGATTCTAAATTTCTGGAACAACTAAAAAAGAATATCTACGTGGAAAAAGCGACTTTGAAGGAAGGTGTAGTGGGTTCGTTCCGGGTCGTGCTAAGACTGTGCCTTTGTGTCTTGTATGCTATTCTATACGTGTACATGTACAACAAATGGACGGAAACTCATATTGTTATATACATAGCGATATTTTTTACCGCCATCTTTTATTTTTTGTACGCGTGCGTTGAAAGTAGCATTAATCACATCAAAATCGTCTTAGTTTATCTCGTTATAGGATACATTTTATCCCCAATTTTGCACACACTCACAGATACAGTTAGCACAGATACTATATATGCTTGGTCGGTTTTAATGATGGCCATTCATCTTATATTTTTCGATTATAACGTTCCAGCCGCTTTTGTGTCTAAATCTTTGTCAATAAATGCAGCCATTTTTGCATCTGTATGCTTAGTTTCAAGACTTTCAACGGCTTTCGATGCCTTCGTATTATTAACAATATCGGTGATATTTTTCGTTGTTAGTCCCCAATTTTTTACGGTGTTTCTCAATACGAAAATATTTTTTTTTATTTTTTTCTTCATATTAGGCATGACTGCGGTGTTGCTATATACGGTTTCAGTGGTTCTTTTGGTTTATTTTATGGTTTTTGTTGGATTTCTGAGCGGTTGTTGCCCTCTCATGTTCGTTAAGTGGCAAAAGTACAAAGATAATATTCATGGACCGTGGGATGAAGCGATTATAAACAATTCTGATGAATTTGATGATTTCTCATAGTTATTTTTAATTGTTTGACTGATTTTTTGTTGTTTTTTTTAATTTATATGAACAAAGTTGCTACGTAAATAATGATTTACAAATGTTGCCAGTCACAAGTTTTATTTATTTATTTATTTATTGAAATATGACATTTATGTAATTAGCTAGTATTAATTCATTATTATTATTGTTTTTTTAAACATACCCATAAATGAAAACCGTGGCTTTCCTTACACGATCTTTATTACTTATTGTAATATCCCACGGGATTTCCCTGATGAAAAATAGATAATTTCAGTAAGATTTCAAGAAGGTAAATGTATGTTTTTTTTGTGTTTGTTACACTGTATCTTCGTGATTCATTTTTGATGAATTATAAAAATGATATTTCAAAGGTTTCATATTTTAAAAATATCAACGCCACTCTTATTTGTGGAATGATAATGTTTAAAGTGACCTTGAAGTCCGCATACTTTTTTAGTTGAAAAGTGATTATTATTATTATTAGTCAAATACTTTTCTATGATTTTTTTTTTATTTGTCCTAATTTTTTTTATTTATTGAAGTGTATTTTATAATCGCATTTTTATATCAAAACTTATAAACTTTTTGAAGTTATACTTCTTTTGGCACGTTTGGAAAAAATTATGAGGGTAAAATTTTTACGATGCGCGCACACACCGACAGCCAAAAAGCGACATGATGAAGTTAGCTGCATCCCTTTTACAAACAGAGAGTTGTGACATACGGGATGAAATCTTTAGCTATTTTTGTTCTGTTACGCCAAAGAAGTATAACTTCTTACGTGTTTCTTTTAATAAAAAAAGTTTTTTTAACTGACGATCAAATAATATTTTTTATTAATTTTTAACCCACCTTTTAACGAATTGGACCACAGACTGAAAATTATTATATTATTTATAATTAGTAATCCTTATATTTACAAATACCTATTTATTTAAAATTAATTATAACAAAATTGATAATTGTTTTTTCTTTTTTCTAATATAAAAATACAATCTTGTATTTAATTTCTTTTTTTATGATTATCTAAATAAATTATTTTATTACATTATCCTGTTTCATTTTTACCAAATAAGTATTAAAATTTAAAACAAACGACAAAAGAATTGAGGTACATGGATACTTTTTAATTAATATAATATACGATTTAATATAGTTTTCTTTTCCTAGGTTTATTTTTCTTTTTACAAAAAAAAAAAGGAATATAAAAACTTCTTCGTTTTACTAAGTTACAATTTTACTAGAGTAAGAAAATTTAATATATATCGGTTTGTTTTTCTTTGTCGGTTATTTTATTCCTGATGTTAAATAATTATAAAAATATCAGGTAATAATATATTGTGCCTCCGATTTAGTTTTATTAAAAAATTCTATCAATTGCCTGCTTCAGTGGGTTTGTGGCTCGACTGCAAAAGACCTGGGTTCGAATCCCGATACTGGTAAAATGAGTTTTTTACATGGAAAAATAGTAAGTACTGAAAATATATATGATTGTAAGTGGAAGAATATACTAATATGTGTTCAGTTTCCGATAGCAAATGACTGAATAAGTCTATACAGAGACAAGACTTCATACAACCGCGCAATGACAGATCCAATACTGTATAAAGTGGTATGTGCGTTTTCTTTTGAGACTCGTTCGTGTTTGACATTGTCAACTAATTAATCCAGAAAAAAACCGGTTTTGTCAACGGTTGAGAGCCGGAAAAAATCGGTTTTGTCAACGGGCAGCGTCGCTGGGACTATCATTTTATTAGACTCAGTAGGGATATAAGAGAGCGTAATTACCTAAGAGGAGAATATTTAGTCATTTAATTTAAAAAAATATTATGCTTTTAAGATAAAACTGTTTTCGTAGTTTTTTTTTTTAATTTTGTTCCCAAAGTTTTTAATGCTTTATAAAATATATGTTTATTGGTCACGGGGGAGACTAAAGATTTATGACGTCTCAAAAGTAATAGCTTTTACGTATAAAGTCTACCTACAAAAATATGAAATGATTTGGATGAAAAGAGAAATGACCAAAGTACTACAATTATAGTTTTGTTTTTTTTTTATTAGTGTTGCTATGGTTTGACTGTTTGAAATAAAATCATCTGGGTTGCAATTATATACGTTGTTTTTTACAACAAATAGCAACCGTTGTTACGATTTTTTTAATGAAAAGAAAATAATGACCATTTTTTCTGGAAAAGTTTCTAAACGTCAAAAATCAAGTATTACCGCGAAAATTATGTATGTTAATATACGAAAAATGTTTTAGGTATTTGAATTGGTAAATATTACCGCAAATCTAAAAAAAATATTGAATTATATTGGATTTTAATTTAATATTGCCTTTTTATGCCTTTTTTATAGAGAGGACTTCACGTTACAATTACTAGCGAAGTTCAAAACAAAGTTACACGCGATCAAAGAGAAGAGTCAAACGGATGCTGAGAATACTGAGAAAAAAGAAGATGAAGAAGATATTGACACTGATGATTGGTAAGATAATAACTGTCTCATTAGTGATGTGACTAGGTATGGCCGCATATCCGGTGTTGAGTTCGAATCCCGGGTCGGGCTAAGGCTTTTCTGTCAAGAAATTGACTGTAATAGCTCGAAGTTGCCGGTGTTGCATTCTCCTTCCTCGGAGAGCACGTAAAACCGTGGGTCCTGTGCCTGATCTCTCATTGATTTTATCGAAGTGTCGTCCCACAAGAGTTCAAAGAGGGAAAAGAGTGCTCTTGTGTTTGCACGCATACTTGTGTGTATATATGTCATGGCTAAACGCTGATATTGGTCTCCGTGGCCCAAATTGGCCAGGTGGACATTATTATTAATATACTAGCTGAACCCGCGACTTCGCCCGCGTTCAATCTACAAAAAATAAACTCTTGCTTTATGTTATATTTTGGGGGTAGGAGGGTAAAAAATACTTTGCGACCTATTCTCATACCTACCAAATATACAAAAAAAAACATTAAAATCGGTCGAGCCGTTTCGGAGGAGTGCGACCACAAACACAGTGACACGAGATTTTTATATAAGTATTAGATATTAATTGATTTTATTCCTAACTTTTTTTATTCATATTGTATTTAACGCGTTTTTTATTTTTAGGATGGGTCATACTCTAAGATTTGAAGAGAAGGGCGCAGTTCTTGCGAAAGATGCATCTTCCAAAGGAGATGATTGGTTCGATATCTACGACCCAAGAAACCCTATTAACAAGAGAAAGAGAGAGAAAACTGATAAAAAGAATAAAAAATAAAGTTTTTTTTTAATTTTTTGTATTTTTTTTTGCATTTTCATCTATCTATGTTATTACTTGTTTTGTTAATATTGATTTAAAGTTATAATTTATATATAAACGCGAAAAATCACTAATTCACTGATGAAGGAAGTCTTTCTAAAATTGGTCCGATGCCTGAAGGGTCCTGTTAGGTACATGCCAATAATAGAACCCACGGCCAGAGAGCTATGCCCTGATGCCGTTTTTCAACTCCGCTTACGGGGGTTTTGAGAAGACCCACATCATCATCGTCACTGACGAAATCTCGAAAGAACTTTACCTGTGAATAAGTGATACTGAAGTTTTAAAACACTTTCTTCTTACTTTGCTAATATGTACTATGTCTACACTAAAAATGGAAAAATAAAAAATATAATAAAAACTGACTTTGATTTGTATCGGTAAAGTCGTTTTGAACGGTAATATTCGGTGTGCTTTGCTTTGTATCGGCTGGCACGGACTTAGAAAATATCTGATTAGGTATCTGTAGTAAATGAAGACTAATAATCAGTTATTTTTTACTTTTTAGTGATTTTTGTATTGATAACAATAAAAAAATAATCTCGTCAATAGCTACAAAAAAAAAGAAAATCGGTTGACAAACAGAGGCGAAAAATATATTGAATTGTTTTGTCTGTGCCTATTTATATATGTACTAGCATTGCCCGCGGCTCCGCCCGCGTTCAGATGACCAAAAACCAAATTCTTAGGTTTTACATATCAGTATACTCTTACATTGCAATTTTAGTATTTTTTTCTCAGAAATAAGACATTTTCCCGTGGTAAAAAGTATCCTATATGTTAACCCACAATTATACACCTAAACCTTCGTCTTAAATCACTCCATCTATTAGTGAAAAGTGAAAACCGTATCAAAATCTGTTCGGTAGTTTGTCAGTTTATCGCATTGAGACAAACAGATGCAGCGGGGGATTTTATTTTATAACATGTAGTGATATAAGTACTTTTCGATAGTATTATAAAAGTAGCTGGAAGAAACCGAGGCAAGATGGTAGTTATACTTAACATAAAAGATAAAGATTAGTATGTCTTAAGGAAGTAGGTACGCTGTGAATCATTGTTTAAACAATAACGTGTTATCTTACAACTTATCAAAGATCGGTCAAAGTTATGGGTCAGCACATGTAATTATTATTTTAGTGATGTGCTGTGATGATTTTAACCGACTCTAAAACAGGTGGTTAAAAAAGTATTTTTATACTTAAGACATTTATATGGGGTGAGTAATATGGAAATCGGGTTTTGAGCAAAATGGCATTTGTGCCTCCTAAGTTAATGAATAGCATATATGGTTGTAGATCTGAAAGTCCTGGGTTTGATTCTTAGTTCGGGCCAGTTAAAGTTTATGAGTACTAATCAGTAGCTATCCGGAGTTGGAAGATGGCGGTGTTTCACGCCCGTGCCGAGCAGTAAACATAAAATATCTACAGACAATAATCTTACTTAATACTATAAATAGAAAAGTTTAGATGTTTGGATGTTTGTTACTTAGGTAATCACGCCAAAATGGCTGAACGGTTCTGGATGAAATTTGGCACAGAGATAGATTATTATAGTCTTGAATAGCACATAGGCTACTTATCCCGGTAAAATGTACGGCTGCCGTGGGATAGATTTGTTTTTGTTTATAACAGAAAGCGGCCTTATCCGCTTAAAGCGGTCTCTTCCAGGCAACCAACTACCGGGTAAAGGAGAGTGTGAAGGAAACGGTAGACCGTGTACTTGTTATATTACGATTTTGATATATAAACTATAGGCGTACACATTATTTTTGCATTCTATTACACCTAGGTACATTAAAATAACCATCATCGATTTTTCATAACATCGTTTAAACTTCCCTATGGCCATTAAAAATAATTGAATTGTTCACACTATTTATGAAACGAAAAAAATCTGTCTGTCTTAAAATCGTATTTATTATTAATTTTAACTTTGTTTTAAGTTAAAACTTAAAATTAAAATTTCAGCTTTTAGCCCAATATTACAAGTAATTTGTTATTTTTTAATACTAGTTTAGTTTTATTTAGTTACATCCAGTTTCGCCAGCGTAAATGGATAACGCTGGAGATATATTTGTACTCAAATATCCATATGTATTGTACTGTCTTCCGTCTTGTCCACAGAAAAATCTCTTTTTCTTTGGAAAAGGCGGTTTTGCACGCACCAACATTTTTGTTTTTATTTAGGTCTATAAATGTAGAATTTTGCTAGATAAAAACTTTACCCTGAATTTATAATAGATACGTTCCCGCGTAGATATGTAGCTAATAAAATTAGTTTATGATCCCTAAATACGTGCCCAAGCTCCAATTTACGAACGTACAATAAAAAAGTAAAAAAAGTAAAAATCGACAGAATGAATAAAAGTTACACTAGGCTGTTTTTAACCCTCGATGCAGAAACGACGAGGTGTTTAAGGTTGACGTATCTGTGTGTGGCTGTCTGTGGCATCGTAGCTCCCGAACGGATGAACCGATTTTGATTTAGTTTTTTTTGTTTGAAAGGTGAATGAAAAACCAAATTCTTAGGTTTTACATATTAGTATACTCTTACAATACAGTTTTTGTATTTTTTCTCAGAAATTAGATATTTTCCCGCGGTAAAAAGTATCCTATATGTTGACCCGGATAACCAGCTATAATCATACCAAATTTCATCAAAATCTGTCCAGTGGTTTTCTCGTGATGCGGTAACAGACAGACAGACAAAAATTCTAAAAACTATAGATTCGGCCTCTGTATCGATAATAATGTCTATTTCAATAAGATTTTCCAAAAAATATTTAATGTACAGATTCGACTTAGTTACAATTTTATTATATTATAATTAATTCTTGTTATCCGTAGTTTAGCAGGTGCAAACAGACAGACAAACACTTGTTTGTCAAGATTTTCGCAATAGCGCAGTTCTGTTATTGGAATAAATCTTTCAAAATTGTAACGGTTAGGTGAATCCTTTCTAACGCGATGAGAATTTTTCTAATTACTTTATTTCATTTCGAAAGCTTTTTGTAACTGTATCTAGGTTTAATTAACGTCTAGCTTACGGTAAGAATAATCTATTCAACACAAACAAAACTTGATGCAAAGTGAAAATATGTTATACCTTGTTTACTATGGAAGAAATTGTCGGTTCGATTACCATGAAGTACATGCTTTAATTGCGGGTTGCTCTCAGACACGCAGGTTTCCTCACGATGTTTTCCTTCACCGAAAGACAAGTGGTAATCGTGTTGGAAATGAATCGCACCTGAAAATATTATAGGCGCGAGACCTGGGATTTGAACCTGCTTCACTTGGTTTCTCAAGCGAGCGTGTTACTGGGCTACCATTGACTTCCTTTATTGGCCTGGCCTTCCTGCCTTTTTATATTGAAAATCAAACACAGATACCAATGTGGGTGGACTATTGAAACATTATAGCTACAGTAAGAACCTAGATAATGCTGCAGCCAAATTACCACTAAAATTAATCAGTTTTGATAAGGTTTGCAAAACGTGTAGGAACTGACACAAATATTATCTTCTATATCTATACTTGTAACAAAATTCTAAGTCGAATCCGTACATAAAATATTTTTTTGGAAAATCTTATTAAAATAATCATTACCGATATAGAGGCAGAATCTATGATGCTTAGAATTTTTGTCTGTCTGTCTGGGAACGCATCACGAGAAAAGCACTGGACAGATTTTGATGAAATTTGGTATGATGATAGTTGGTTATCCAGGTCAACATATAAGATACTTTTTACTGCGGGAAAATATGTCATCTCTGAGAAATCTACTAACCGTTAAAACGTTTCTAGGGACGAACCCAAGTGGAGCGAGGAAGTCGCTAGTTAGGCTATAAAATGTTAAAAATAAATCAGTAAAACATCCATACTAATATTATAAATATGGAAGTGTATTTGTTTGTTTGTTTGTTTGTCTGTCCTTTTTTTACGTCAAAACAGAGTGACGGATTGGCGTAATATTTTGTGTGGAGATAGTTGGAAGGCTAGAAAGAGTGATATAGGCTATTTTTTTACCGCGGGAGATTATCTCATTTTCACGGAAAAACACTTAAATTGATAATAATGGTCGTCAATACAATTAGATAATTATGATAAAATATGTATGAATGATGATGAATGTTTGTATGAAACCAAACTTCAAGAGATTTTTTTTGTAATTATAGCGCGAGCGAAGCCACTGGTTTTGTTAATTGACAATAAACTGGAAATTTTTAATTAAACACATGATTAAAACCAAGAATTTAACTGTATAATAAAACGATTTGGCGTCAACGATTTATCCTTTATTACTCTCTGAGTAATCTTTTATTATCAAATGAATACTGTTGTATTTTACTTATACATCTCAATATACCTGTTGGAAAAATTTAATTGTAATTTCTTTTTACCATACAGTATTTTTTTTCTGATTTTATAAATAAATAAGTGTTTTTGGATTTACGATATTCACAACCCATCATCACATAGGTACTCTAAGGATTTTGTTTATGAACGATGTCCCACCGACCAATTTAGACCACGGTGGTTAATCTCATTGAGACTAGCCAGCGCTGGAGATATTATAGTGCACAAGTGTACGCGCAGACACAAGTGCACTCTCTATTCCTGTCACTCTCATACTCCGGTGGGAAGACTACTCGACACGACCAGTGAGAGTTAAGGCGCAGGACCAACGAATTTACGTGCCCTGAATAGGAACGGTAGTAAAACACCGCTAACTTACCAACTCCGGGTTGTTACTGAGGCCTACTAAACAGAAAGACTTAATAACTAAACTTGGGCCGACCGGGACTTGAACCCAGGACCTCCGGATGTGCAGCCGTACATGCTAGCTACTACACCACCGAGGCAGTTAGCTGTTTGTGACTACTAGACTAAGTACATACATAGTACATACATAGCATTGGTCATATTGTCATAATATTATTTCGATTCCTA